TGACAATAGAATACATCCATCATCAAGGCTTCTGATCAGGAAGTTTTGAGGAGCATGGAACCACCTTTTAATTGCTGTTGTTCTAATGTTCACCCTGACCTGGGGTAGTAGCACATGATAGAGTCCCAACTAGTTAACCCCCAAAGTGGGGTCAGAGTATAAAAATATATTTTCATAGTAAAAAAAAAATTGACAGCATTGCATTTTTGACAAACAACAAAATATTACTAGCAATGCATTTTTGTAAAAGAAATTACTAATGCTCCAAAGAAAATTAAATTTTGGCATTAAATGACCCTTAAGGAGTTGATATGCCGCTAATGTAAACAAAATTACTAATGTGACCAAGAAAATTAAATTTCAAATTTAAATGACCCTTAAGGAGTTGATATGTCACTAAACAAACAAACCAAAATTGAAATTGTCTAATAAAATATTCTTAACTTTTGTTATTGTTAAATAAGTTATTATTTATTTTTCTTATGTCTCCATATGGTTTAGGCTTATGGCTACATCACATAGAAACACTGGTTCCTGTAAGCTCACCAAAATTAACAATATTGAAGCTGGTCAGTATCTATGTGGGTGATCACTTGGGAATACCAAATACTGTAAGCTTGGATGTGCAGGTGGTGTAATCAACAATAATTCAGAATTGTTAATTGGAAAGCTGAGTTTCAAATCAAGTTGGGTCCATTATATTCATTTACTTGCAAATACCTTTGGGAGAGGTATGAATTTACCTATTCTCCCCTCCCAGCTATGGGTTAATTAGTAGGACTTCTCTCATTAAATCATCATTATCCTCAAAAGAAGAGAAAAATTCTTATAATCTAAAAATATTTTCTGGCTTTAATTAACCTGCAAAGCATTGAAAAACTGTAGAAAATGAATCAAACAACCATATATTTTATATTTTCATGTTATAATTCCTTGTGACCCTGTCTTAAATAATATTATGTTTGCATCTTTCATGGAAAACTAAATAGATAGGAATCATTATTTACATTATTGTTCTCATTTTTGTTGATGTTTTTACTTTACATTTCAACCATTGTGCCCTGTGGCTTTCCTCAATATGGGTAACCTGCAGGAAATTATGAATTGAACCATTTATTTAATCTACGAGGGTAGATTGTTCTTGCTCCATTGCCCATGTCTCAGGATACCTTCTTTTCTTAATTGAATTTACCCCAAGCAAGGCAGTAAAGCCACTAAGACACAAGGTATTTCTGTGTATGAAAGAATTAGAAAACAGAAACATTATTAAGGTGCAAGAAAAATAGAAGAGTAATCAGGATGACAGTAGATAACAACTGACATTACATTTCAGTTTTTGAAGATCATGGAGCCAGAAGAGAGTTCCATAAGCGAGAAGTGTGACAAAAGAAACTATTAGGATAGAACTTATGGTTACATCTAGGCATTTCAACTGTAAATTGATGAGACCTTGTTGCCAATCTAATATATTAAATAAATTCATAAAGTCTAGGTACCATGGGGAAGAGTTCATCTGAACAATTACCATGAAAGTATTTATAGAAAAAGCAGAGGGAAGCTACATTATGGTGATGGGAAAGTGACTGAAGCCAAGACGCCAGGTCAGGACCAATAATATTGCTGATTCATCTTTAGATTTTATCAAGAATCTCTAAATATACAGCAGTAGCACCAGACCATATGTGGTAGCAATATTTAAAACATGGATGAATGGTAGACTTATAAATATATAAGGTAGATTCTGGAGAAAAAAACTATCTAGCATGAAACAGTGAACCAAATTTCTTAGTAGCAGACCTAGCAATGAATTCAATCTCATCTTTCCACTTCATGTCAATCAAAATCATACCACCCCATGCAAAGCACTAAAGCCACCAAGGTGTAAGGAGTTACTGAGCATGAAAGAATAAATAAAATAGACATTATTAAGGAGTGAGAACAACAGAAGAGTAATTGCGTTTAAATTTTTAAAGATCAAAGTTGATGGGAAGAGAGTTCCACAAGTAAGAAGTGCAAGAAAAGAAACTGTTAGAAAAGGCAGAGGGAAACTACATTATAGTGGTAGGAAAGTGACTGAAGCCAAGACACCAGATCAGGATGAATAATATTGCTGATTCTTCTTTGAATTTTATCAAGAATTTCTAAATATCTAATAGGAGCACTGGATTATATGTGGCAGCAATATTTCACATCTAGTTCTTATTTTTAGTACTGTTCAGTTATTGCTTGCCTGTTTCCACTGAGTTCAAGTACACACCACCTGGCCCAGGGACTGAACTCACAATTACTATATCACCAAATTCACGAATCAACACTTTAATGCATGTTCCCAGATGTCATGAGTTCCAGCGTCCTACGAGGCTGGCATCCCGCTCTCACTCCTTCACTGTTGAAACTCCTAAATGTAGCCGTCTCTTCTACTCTAATAGCTTCATGCCTCGCACCTCTCGCCTGTGGAACTCCCTTCCCTTCTCTTGTTTCCCTGTGAGCTATAATCTCCAGCTATTCAAGTGTAATGTCAATCGACATCTCCAGTTGCCTTGATCTATCCACTACCCTCATCCTTTCTTCTATCACTCCTATCTGATCTTTCTCTAAATTTTCTGTAACCCCTTGCGTCCTAGTGGCTTCCCGCCTTGCTTGGGGTGAAATGCTTAAAAAAAAAAAAAAATGTATATATTCACGGAATTTTGAACTGAACCCCTTATTTAATCTATGGGGGTAGATTGTTCCACAGCCCATGTCGAGGCATATTTCATGTTGTTCTTATTTTTAATACTGCTCAGTTATTGCTCTGTATTTATTTGCATACCTACTCAAACAGAATGTGACACAAGGTCATATTTCTAGTCTGTGGTGGGGGGAGGGTGACAGGTATACCTAAAACCAGAGGCCAAAAATACACTACCCCTTTTAGGGAAAACTTAGGTACCAAGGATTAACTCTAGCCCCCTCCCAAGGAAGAGTACTACTTAGGGAGACAGACCCACAAAGACTGGACTGATAGAGTTGATATGTACCTTTCAGGCCAAAGGGCTAATGCATTTATGTGAATTGTAACACACAGTTTGGGGTAACAGTAACTCATTCCTAGATTGGAAAAAGTTATACATAAAAACACTTTCTTTTTTTTTGTGATTTACAATAAAAAATATATTTTTTTGACAAGATGTACAATGGAAACTAAAAGTGCTGGCAACGTGTTCAATGAATGGCTTACATTTTAAGATTGATTGATTTATTTGCATACCTACTCAAACAGAATGTGACACAAGGTCATATTTCAAGTCTGGGGGGGGGTGACAGGTATACCTAAAACCAGAGGCCAAAAATACACTACCCCTTTTAGGGAAAACTTAGGTACCAAGGATTAACTCTAGCCCCCTCCCAAGGAAGAGTACTACTTAGGGAGACAGACCCACAAAGACTGGACTGATAGAGTTGATGTGTACCTTTCAGGCCAAAGGGCTAATGCATTTATGTGAATTGTAACACACAGTTTGGGGTAACAGTAACTCATTCCTAGATTGGAAAAAGTTATACATAAAAACACTTTCTTTTTTTTTGTGATTTACAATAAAAAATATTTTTTTTTGACAAGATGTACAATGGAAACTAAAAGTGCTGGCAATGTGTTCAATGAATGGCTTACATTTTAAGATTGATTGATTTCTTTTTTATGGCTTATCAACTCTTTGTGGGTTATTTAAATCCAAAACATATTTTTCGGATTGTAAGAATAATAATAATAATTTTTTTCTCCAGTTCAATATTGCATTAAGAATTTTTTGAAGATAAGGATTTTTCCAGATACAAGTCTTGCTATTTAACCCATATCTGAGGGGAGAAGAGGTGCATTTACACTGTAAGAATTAGTAAACTAAAATTAGTCTGCATCATTATCACAGCAGGGATGGGGTTCAATAATTTTGGGAGTGGGAACGCACCCCAGAGTCAGACATGAATATAAGAAAAGTGGGATAAGAATACTATATAATGACTGCTGATTATAAAAATACATGGATATAATGGCTGATATTGGGGTAAGTGGATATGTGGGTAGTGTAACAGCTATTGGCAAATTCTAATTCCCACCTAATCTGTTGTGTTCGTTTTTGTATAAAAAAGGCATTAATCCGTTTCTTCTTGCACCACCAGCTATGGGTTAAATAGCAGAGTAGACTGGTCTCTCAAGCCTTGGTTGGCAGTCAGTCTAGGAGAAGGACCACTATAAATTCAAAATTTTGGTGAAGCCATTGCACTATTTCTCATGACAATTCCCGCAAAAGGAAGCTGTGGAGCGCCATGATCATTCATGTCCTGAAGGTACATTATATTAAAAAATGAGATAAAGAAAACACTTTTTCAAAGACCACTCTTGAAAATCCCCAGTCCTGGCTTTTAGTTTTTTATTTTTTTCAATTTTTTTTTTTTTTATCTAAGATCTAAAAAAAAAAATGATGGCAAATAAAATACGCAATTAAAATTATCTCACCCACAAAGTAAGTAGGCTTTTGGTTTGAAAGATGGAGTACAACAGTGAAAATAAAGTTTTAGATATCAACTGGCTAAGATATGAACAAAGAGAAAGAGGTAGATAAAGTGAATGAGGAGACCGCTAGCTTGAATTTGGATCTGAGGATGTATTTTCCACAGGTGCTAGTTAGAGAGTGGTTGATATTTGAACCCAGGTAGATAACACTGATTTTCGAATGCCGATTTTATGAAGTTAGGCCTTCATAATTCCGAAATTAGAGCAACACAAATGCCAGACGTGGCCTATAATTAATAAAATAGGTTTTGTGATTCATCATGTTTTTAATAAATAGATAATATTTTGTAATTATCGCCTGCGTGTGTGTAGCTGTAGCAGGCTTAGCGAATTGCTAGACATGACTAATCGATAGAAGTGTGAGCGAATGGAGTGACGGTGAGAGTAAAACCATTGCCACGACGTTTGCCCCCGTCGAGTTTCCAATTTATGATGGCCGCCCCGTGAGATGCTGGCCGCTCGATCCATGCTCAGATATGGCGTGATTTGGACGCTTCGTTTGGTCACATGCAGGAATCTTTTGGGTACCACTCCATACCGACAGATGTGGGTTAAATCAAAATTACAAGGGCTTTTCACTTTGTTATCACGGTGAGGTGCATTCATTTTTTTTTGATTTGTTTTTTTTTTTTCGTTAGTTTTTTTATTATTTTTTTTACCTTTGTTTTGGTAGCAAAAAAAAAAAAATGTTGGTTTGTTTGTCTGCTTCGGAAGTGTTAAGTCGTTTCTTTAAAAAAAATCAGATTCAAATCTGTTTTATTATTTTTGTCTTTCAGTCAATCAGAGTCTTAAAAAAATTGATTCAATCAATTCTGGATTCGAAAGATCGATAATGTCAGTTATTTTGCTTTAAGTCAAAATAAATGAGGTTGACTAAAAAAAAAAAAACACCTACGACAACTCAAAATGCGATCAAACATCTTAAAATATATTTTATTTTAAACTTAAAGATTTTAAAATTGAAATAAAAAGGAAAAGTGTATTTATTTTAAAAATATTTTTTTTTTTCCTACAAATACAGGCTCTTCTTCTTGCGGTTTGCCAAAGACATTTTTTTTAAGTAACTTGATTGGTAATATCATTAACTTTAGAAAATCTTTTTAGTTTATTTAAAATTTAAAAATGTATAAAATTTAATTAATAAGTGAATATTTGTATACATGTTCCTTACTTCTCAAAGGGGATAAGTTTGTTTAAAAAAAAATCATTGTTCTTGTTTACATATAAAACGTTTTTTTTATTGTATCTTTCCCCTTAAATTAAAATAAAAAAATATATAAAATTAGTTGTAATTTTATAATAAAGTTTATTCTTCTTATTGTTTTTTAAAGGTTTCTAATATTTTTTTAAAACGAAATGTAATGAAAATTTTAATTTTTCAAAAAATGATTTTTGTTTTCAATTTCGTGTTCGTCTCGTCTCTCCAAAAATTAAGTAACGAGTAAATAAAAAAGATGAAAAATATTTAAAAAAATCAATTTTTAAACAGGTTCTTTGGATTTTTTTTTTTTTTTTTTTTTTTGTAAATTATGAAAAGAAATTATCTCGATTTTTGTTATCTTTTCTACTTGGAACTGAAATTTAGGTGCATTTTTTGAGGTTCGTAAATTAATGAATTATCATTATTAATTAAATATTTATTTAAACACTTTCAAATTTTATTGTCACTTATACTTTTTTGCCAAAAAGTATAAGTGACAATAAATTTTTTGCGGATGTATTTACTTGATTCTCCAACCTTCTCTCTGTATTTATTTTTCCATTTTGTTGAAGATATTGTTCTCTCTCACTTTCTTTAAACATTTTTTACTGTGTATTTAATTAAAAAACAAAAACAAAAAAAACAATTTCAAATCATTTAGTTGTACAGGTGGTGTTTTTATTTTATTTTTTACCTACTTATAAATTGGGCCATTATTCGCTAGGGTAGTATGTTCGGTTTTCCACTGTTGGGTCATCAAATAACATGGACCACAACTTGATCTTCATAACACATTTTTTAATTCATTTTATATACTTTTTTAAAATTATTACCCGTTCGGTGTTCCATACCATCACATTTTTATTTTTATTCTATGTTCGAAGGTACTGTCATTTGACTTGGGCGTTGTAAAAAAAAAAAAAATAAAAAAATAATTTGAAAAAGTCGTAATATGAGCTCCGGTACAAAAGTCACTTCACGTTGTTATAAAAATAGATTATTAAACTTGGCAAAATCGGGTGTCACTGAGGAATCGGAATAAGTGTATATTTTTTTTTTTTTTTTTTGCGTCATTAAAAAGTCTTTTTTGATCGAAAATACACGTAACAATACATTTCTCTGCTAACATTTTTTTTACATTTATTTAGAGAATTTTATATTACAAAAAAAATATAAAAAAAAAACGACCTTTGACAATTAACCTTACAGTACACTAACTCTTGATAAGTAAAAAAAAACTAAAAAACAAAACAAACAAGAAAACAATTGTTAATTACGTGAGTAAAGGAAAAGATATTTAAAAATAATTACAAGCATAAATTCTCACGTGTTTGAATGGTCTGCTGAACCAAACATTATCATTAATAAATTATTTGTATTATTAACTGTTGATGAAATAATCGGAAACCGTGTTACTGTTACTGTTTATGTAAAAAAAAAACGAAACAAAACAAAAAGTGAGTAAATTTACAGTACACACACCCACTACTAACAGGGAATAAATTTTGATAGTATTTTTCTGTATTGTTCACTAAAGTTATTTTTTTAAAAATTTTAGCAAATTAATAAGAAAAAAAATCACAAAATAAATCCTGCTTTAGCTTATTTAAGTTAATTAATTGTAAAAAAAAGAAAAAAGTAGAATCGGAATATGAAAGCAGTCAAGACATAAAAAGACCTGACCACAAAATTCGAATCATTTGTCACATGTGTACATTTTGGAAGTAATCTCGCAGAGGAATTTCTCTCTCAATCTGGCATTGGCTCCAAATTCTTGAAATTGCCCACATTTCCATTTTTACTCATAGTTATTTCGGCTTTAAATTTATTTAAAAAAATACAAGGTTCGATTTTTAAAAAAAACAAACTATGATGAATTGAAATTAATAAGAATTTTGTTGTACAATTATAAATTGATTATCTTTTTCTGACCTTTGCATTTTTTTTCGGTTTTATCAGCCACTCCCAGTTTATATTGTGGAAGCGAATACTTTTTAGTTTTTAGTTTAAAAAAAGTCCACATTTACCGATCAGCTAACTTAACAGCTCTAACCTTTTCTCTTTTTTTCTTTTTTCTTTTTATTTTTTAAATGTTTCATTTTCCAAACGAAGGGCATTGTTTTACGACTATTTTCACATCTGATTGCGCGCGATGGTGAAGGTTGGTGGGGTGTTTGAAATGTAATTTATGGATTATTTTAGAAATACAAAATAACACACTTTTTAGATTGAGTCTCTCAAATCTTCGACTCTTTCGTCTTTATCAATTTAATTTTTTTTATGTCGTTAAAGCCTACTTACTTTGAAAATCAATAATATTTGAAACCCCGAGTTTTCAACTGGATTTGAACACCGACCTATACTATGAAGGGTGAAATTAGACTTTTATTGATTGTAGTTTCCTTCGTAACTTTTTGTTTGAAGTAGTGTGGAAAATCAACAACTTGATTTTCTGTGATGAAGAATTCATTATTTACATGTGGACTATTGACCTCACCTTTGTTGTTGTTTTCACAACGTTTCGACCATTGTACCCTCCGACCGTCGTCAGGTGCTTAGGTAGACTTTGGGGATTTTTTACTGACCATGTCTAGAATATCTCGTCTAGTTCTTAGTTAATACTGCTCATCAACACTTTAATCCACTAAACTGTCCCATGGGACAATAGCCTAGTGCAGGGGTTCTCAACCGTGTCGAGGACGGGGAGGAGAAGAATTCGTTTTTTACTTTTTCTTTTTTATTTACAGAGTTTTGTTTATTGACTACCCTGGCATTTTATTGAACTTTTTGTTTATTGAAATATGTTTCAGTTTATTTATTTAATTAGTTATATATTATTTATCCCAATCTCCTCACTGAGATGAGATGTGACACAATGTTGGGTTTAAATGTGGGGAACCCGATCATGTACACTCAGGCCAGGTACAAAAATTACCCGGCCCCAGCAACCGTTGATTGCACTGGCATCAGTATGACTACGGATCCCCTCCACTCTTTAATGGGGGATACAGCTATGGGCAGCAGTTCCCTGGGATCAGACACCTCGCAGTTTTTATTTTTTCCCAGCTGTGTCACTCTGCCTGAAGACAGAGATACAACTAAGAGATGGATCCTTCCACAACATAGTTATGAATTAAAACAAATTACTGTACATGTATTCAAGTTTAAAAATCTATCAACACTTTCTATTGCTGTTAAATTTGTAAAACTTCTCTATAAAAATAATCCATCTAAATGTATATGGAATATACTAATATAGAAAAGAATGAAAATTTTCAATAATATGTGCATATTACTTGGAATGCACCTTTCGTGTTGAACCTTCTTGGAAGGGGAAAGAGTGACATTCTGACATATGATGAAAAAGAGTGCATTGGGCAAAAAAAAGTTGAGAACTACTGACTTAGTGCATTAAGGTGTTGGTTAGTGAATTTGTTAACAGTCATTGTAAGTTCAATGTGTATTGGGATTCTGTTGAAATGAGGTTAGCAATAACTGAGCATTACTAAATAAGAACTAGATGCAATATCCCTAGACATGGTAAGCAGAGTGAGAACAATCTATTCCTGTAGATTAAATAAGGGGTTCAGTTCAAAATTCCCTGAAGGTTACCAGGACTGACAAGCTTCCTGATGAAGTCTGGAGGGCACAATGGCTGAAATGTTGTGATAAACAACAACATAGATGAGAACAATAGCCCATGTGTAAAGAATCAACATCTTGATTATATCATTATTTTACCTTCTTGTTACATGTGCTACCTATTTTAGTTGTTGTTGCTACTGTTGGACCTTTTCAGCTGAGGTGGTTTTTGTTATTTGGTAAAGCTCTTTGATGTGACATACTCAGTCCTTTCACCTTCCAGACAGGCAGGCCAAATTTTGATGACATTTTAACCCCCACCCCGTCAGATTAACTCTTTACTTGAATTGTCAGTTTGCAAAACAAATGGTCAGATTTCAGGATGAAATTCCCAAGATGATAAACACTCTATTTTTTCATTATTTTTACTTGATGGTAACATAAAAGGCAACAACATTTTATAATTTTTGTATCTAGTGTGCTTAGTGTTTAAAATTATTTTTAAAGTGTGGCATGAAACGAATAAGGAGTTATATCCAGAAAAAGCCAATTTTATAAGGCAAAGGAACACCACCACCATTATAGTAAAAAATAGGAACCATGTAGTAGCCCCTTTGAGATAAAATCCCTGAGAAGAATATGAAGAGATGGATGAAGAATTTTACAGGACTAGTTTACACATCTTCAAGTAGCAGTGACACTTTCAGGATGTGGGTGATCTCCACAATTTCATATCCTTTGTAGATAAAATCCCAGTAGTTGTCCTTAAGAATATTAACCTGATTTTAGCGAAGTTATTTAACTGTTG